GTAGGCGCATCAAATGAGAATTACCTGCTTGCGCCGTATCCTCGAACACGGATGCTATATACAGATCTACGGACACTCGGGGACTGTCTTAGATTGCGTACCAATGCTGCTGAATAATTTTCGTCCTTCATCATTGTGGTGGTGGCCGAGCCCAAGTCGCGGGATCTGCCGGAGCACACGACACGAGGCGCGAGTAAAGGAAACGGAGTTCCCCCGCGGAGTTACACATCGGAGGTAATAAAACGCGGTGGTAATTACTTGGCCAGACAATCATTAATCTTCATCGTTGTATCGACCGCGTCGGTAAGTTGCTTCTCCCGCGACGCTCCATCGCCGTTAATGAAACGGCGTGATATACCAGCAGGCCGCGATTTTTCCGAGGTGGAAGTCCATACGTTTCTCACAAGTGAAAACCTTCTGCATTACCGCGAATAAAAACCATTTGTCGCAAAACAAAAGGCACTCGTGATTTCTCGAACGTCTCTACCTCGTAAAATTTTTAAGAACACCCCATTCTTCTTAACGACCCAAAGAGATCGTCATTAAGATATGTACGTGTGTACAGAACTTGTGCTAAATTGGATTAAGACGTTAAACGCGCCAATAGAGCAGCCGCGAATGGAACAGGTTCGCTAAACCGAGATCCTCATAATACCGTGGAAGCCTTTAGCTTTTCTCTCCCCTCGGTGGATACCCCGCCTATTTGAGAACCGTCAATAGGCTCACGACGCATTCACGACAGAAATAAATGCGGAGCGAAAAGGGCTCGGGGGCTCTTTTCACGGAAGGATATAATTGCCAGAAAAATAAACGATCGCGGTGTCTGTTTGCCCACATCTTTCTCCATCTCACCTCGCCGCGCCCGGCGAGCCGAGCGAACTCCCAGAACTCTTCGTATCCTGTCTTCTGATCCCCCGTCTCGTCCCTCCCAGGGTTACCCTCTTCGCGCCAGCTACATCCCTCATTCGGTCCGTCCCCGTCCGCCTTTATCTCCTCTTCGGCCACCCCCTGTGCACGGACCCACCTACACACACCACCACCGCCGTCATCGTCGTCGTCGTCCCCTCGATCCCACGCCGTTCATTTCTCGCGTTTCTTTCCCGCGCCCGTCGATTCCCAGCCACCACCGGTCCCGACTCCGTGGAAAAGCTTACTCGAGTCGTGGGTCAACGAATTCGCAATTACGATCTTTCACGTCGACGTGACTACCTACTCTCTCACGTCGACTATGGAATCCTGCCCTCCTCCCCCCGGCTCCGTCCTCGTCGCGCATACACGACCGCTCCTCGTCTTCCACCGCGATGCGGGATTTTCTTAGTAAATTTATTTCGCGAAAGCCGATAAAGCGGGACGTTCGAATGTTCGTTTGAAGAAAGCTACGGTGATACGTGTAAACGAGAGAGTGGTCGGTGATGCAAGTGGCTCTTGCATATTTATCTCTTCTCAAACTTTGAAACGAAAGTACGACATTTGTGTCACTTTTTAAACGCCTACATAATTGACATACACAGAATTTATGATTCGCGAACAGTAACATATTTTTCACTCTGCCGAAATAAATTATGCATTGGCATCGGATTGATTGGCATCAACAGAGACGTGAAATATATTTTCATGCATTATTCACTTTTCAAATCGCATTATAAAATTCTCCCCTCCGCCCCCTCTTTCCCTCATTCGTCCTGTCTCTAAAAATGTGTACCCATACGCGACGAACAGAAAGATATTTTAATCCGACGACTGCATCGGCTTAAGTGCAGTTTGTTCCCAGAATAAGTCGTGCTTCGCGCGTTCGTCACATGTAACTTTCATTCGTGCAACCTTTATTTCTACTCTGACATTTCGTATCGTACCCGAGAAGAATCCCCGGCCAAATCGCAAATTGGGTTCGCGTTTCGGTGATGAGCTGAGAACGTCCTCGCGGATGTAAGCGCGCAAGCGCGCGCAAATGCACGACGTGCGAGAGACACCGGCGACATTCGAAGAAGGGAGAAAAGCGATGGGGGTTGCGCGCCGTTACGTCATACACTTATGCCTTTTTTAATACATGCCGAGATACAGCGGCGACAATGCGCCGTGAAGACAATGCGACGTATTCCCTCGAGAGCTTCGGCGGAAACTCCCTTTCTTATTTTCGCATTTCTTTCATCTGCATCATCCTTTATCCGATGCAAGAGCGTCCGTCCGTTCATAAACGGCCATTCGTGTGTGAGTATTAAATGTCTCTGTCTTAAAAACAGTGGTGCATAGAGCGCGAAAAGCTGCCGGAAAATCGTGGAATTGATAAAAATGGGGGCGTTGAAAAATTGTTGCGTGATAAAATATTGCGTGCGAGCGTCACTGTCGCCGGTAAATATTTTCTCAGTCATCCGTGCAGAAAGATGCGACGTCGATGACTGCGCCTCGGTAAAGGTAGCGTTAAATGTAACAACCGCATATACGTGCGAGGATTCGTGCATTATTCGGAAAGAATGAACGCGCAAATAAGTGTGCGCGAGCACGCGCGCATACAAACGCGCGTGAGGAAACGACGGTGTGTGGAGTACTGTTCGGCTTTTGCTCTTTGAAAGGCAAGCAAACACGTGGCTACGTGCTCGCCGTCCTTCTTGACAACGTGCGAGAATTTATTCATTCGTTGGCACAGTCCGGTAAAGAGGATGAGCGAAGGAAAATTTTTGACTTTGTCCCCGGAATTCTCTAATATTAAACAAAGCCATTCAACTGTTTTATAAAATTCAATAGTTTGTGTATTTCAGAAACAGAGAGAGAGAGAGAGAGAGAGAGAGGGGGGGGGGAGTGACAAGAAGAGAATAGATTAAATAATAAGGATATTAATGTTTTACATCAATCAGTGAATTTAGAATTTGCTTGAGAATATATGCACATATATTTATGAACGTCAGTGTTTTCTTGACCATACCTGGCATTTTTAATAATTCAGAAAATCTATAGCGAAAAATATTACCTCAGCTAGGGTTTGAACCTGGATCCCCCCTACACTCTAGGCAGGTGTCTCACCTATTCGACCACTGAGGCATGTAAGTGGTGCGAATCAGTGGTTAAATTGGGGAGACACCTGCCTAGAGGGTAGGGCGGTCCAGGTTCGAACCCTAGCTGAGGTAATATTTTTCGCTATAGATTTTCTGAATTATTAAATGCCAGGTAGGGTCAAGAAAACACTGACGTTGTTAATTACCGCTGGCGACATTGGAAAATATTCTGATTAGTTGATGTATTTATGAAGTTATCTGACGAGTTACAATTGAATCTAATGTTAGAATTTTGCTAGCATGTCAGAAAGAAAAATGGAGCAAATCTATTAGAAAAATAACGATTTTGGCTATATTTGTTGGAAATTAGTGATTCTCTTCAATTTTATTTACGGTATCTAAAGTTACACTCTTTCGAAATAAATGTTTTCGTTTCGTACGACTTTTTGGCTGATCTATGAAAGTTTGAAATAGGAAAGAATTTTCTTTTTCGTATAAATATAGAAATAGTAGAAAGTGAAGCGAAACATAAAACAATATTTGTAAATGCACACCTTGAAAGAGCGTTACGAAAGACCATATTTTAAAATCAATTATAAATTAAAGAGGCCGTTTATATTTTAAAATGCTGCATGCAAAATACGATTTCATTTCTGAAAAGCTTCATGCATTGCGAGCGGATAATTTTGACTCTGCTTTACAAATGCTTTTACAATAATTTCGTTTCAATCTCGTTCTCAACTGCATAGATACATTACAATCCGAACCACGTCAAATCGTATTTTAAACCGCATTGCCCCTTAGGTCGCGCCGGTCTAAATAATTCATTCCATGAATTATTTCTGTTCCTATTCCCGACTCGCAACGAAAATCGATCTCTTTGATCGCTGTACCCGCCGCGGCACTTTGTCCCGTGCCACGTATCTTTCGATGGTCCCCTAATCGCGCACGTTGCGTATATCAACTGTCCAACCTCCGCAACTCTTCCGCAACTCTTCCGCATCTCCCCGCAGATTTGCTTCGTATGAACAAATACTTGTCTTGCTCGATTAGTGCATCGCGACAGCAAACATCGTATTCTCGGCGAAGCGTTTTGTTTTCCGAGTAAGCGACGGTCTGCCAGCGGGCGTTTATTTTACTTGGATATCGAGGAAAACCTGCATTATATGTAAACGTAGCTTTCAACGTTCGAGAACGGATTATAGAAGCTCGCGTACGCTGCTTCTTAATCCGGGGATTTCGACTGAAATATTTGGTAGATGCTATCGGGCAGTGACGCGACCGTTCGCTCCAGCGTGCATTTAATCCCGGAACGAGCATGGTCCCGAATCGATTCGAAATCTAGGTCGAATTCGGCTTAGTGGAATTGATTTCTCCGGTTTCTCGGTTGCGAACAATGTATACGTCGTGGGGTTTAGACCGGCTTCGCGAATCAGGTCGTTCCGCCCGCTTCAACGAGACAAAAGATAAAATTCTATCCGCGGCGCTTACCAACCAACAAATCGAATAATCGTTTCAACATCGAGTTTAATCCACGGGCAAATCCAGATCGGAGCTATCGCTTGACCTGAGGCGGCTCCGCCGCGCGAAGAACGGAGAGGAAAATATTGATTTCTAAATAGCTGCGATACAACGTAACAAGCGGCTGGGCAAAATTTTGTCTGTTACCGCAAAGGTATATCCGTGTGCGTTGCAAAGTGGCAGTAACGCCGTCACTATATATAAAACACTCCGGTCGCGATCATAAAGTCAATTTCGTCTTTTAACGATTCATCGCGTCATTCGTTAATTCAACGCCGTCTTGAAATTTTAACCCAGCCGCCTGGTTAAGTGCCGCTCGAATTCCCATCGGTGCACTTGATAAAACCAAAAAATTGGACGAAAGACAATATAAGTTAGTCGAGCTAAATTAATCGCGCTCGACCGCTCCTCGTTGACGCGATCGCCGAGAGACCGCCGCAACGAGACCGGCGTTACAACGTTAATGAGCGAGCACGCTTCTCATTTCAGGGTGCAGCGTGAAAATTGCGCTCGGTCAGCAGGGCCCGGTCTTCATCCTGGAGCCGCCGAGCACCTTAGTCTTTTCAAATACCACGGGCTCCCAATTAGGCTGCTCGGCGCACGGCAGCCCGACGCCGCATGTCACGTGGATTACCAGCCCGGATCAGAGATCGGTCACGGCAGTTCCGGGACTCAGGTAAATGACGTTTCGCAAATCACGTTTCCGGATGTGCCCGGGCGCTTGGACCGATCGCGTTCGTGTCGGATCACTTTTGCATAAATTTGCCGGGGCCACTATTCGTTTAAATAAAACCCCGAGTGCCCTTTCAACGTGCGCGGAAGGTGTAAGAGCCCGCTTTAAACCCGCGAGCGCGCGAAATCCACCTCGCACCTATACCTCGCGAATCTCCTCCTCTTTCTAGCAGTCTCTTACGCGAATCAGCAGAGGCTCCTTTCGTATTCTTTCAGGCAACTTCTGGGCAACGGAACGCTGTACTTTCCGCCGTTCCTGGCTCAGGACTTCAGAGCCGAGGTTCACAATGCCCGATACAGATGCCGGGCGACCAGCTCCGTCGGGACCGCACTTTCGCGCGAAGTCACTCTCCGTGCTGGTAAGTTATCTCATCCACGTCTTATCCCTTCCGAAAGTGAAAGCATAGTCTTGTAGACTTACGTGGAAACTTATCCGGTCGAAAGATTTCAAAATGTTTTATCATACCGGCGGAAATGGCTTTCCGGCTCTGAGTGGAAAATGTGGTCGCGCGAATAAGATCCGAACTACCGGGGCGCCTCGCTACCGCGGATCGACAGTCCGTTGATGTCGCCGGTACACACGATAACCATTATTTATCGAAGAAACGTCATTCGCCACGTACGAGATTCGTTGCAATAACGGACTGGCGGTACCGAACATCCCATTACGTCGGAGTGCCGCTGCGAGCGTGGAGCCAACACCTCGCATTTTCAACCGAGGGGCTTCGCGCTATCCAAGTAAATACCGACGGGGAAACGGTTGAAAGCCGTTAAATTGTATCGGAGGAAGTTCGATTCGAGTACGTGGGCGAGTCTTCGCCGTTCCGCAAGACCCGGGGACGGACAAAACTTTGTCCGGTCGGCGCTACGTGAGCCATCATTTAAATGGCTGATTCTAAGCCGATCATTACTACTGGCGGCGGCCAAGCTGAATTCGCCAGCATCCGCCACATACATACTGCACGAGTCCAATTGGAAAAGAATTCTTCTTTCGTTTTCATTTACTTTTCATCTGAGCGGGTCGAGCACACCGGTAATAACGCTGTTAAAAAAAAAATATTGCACAACAACGAAGATAATTATTTTCCGTAGTTTTGGAACGTTGAGTGCGATCCAGTTCGCCAGATTGGCTCTATCGCGTTAAAATTGTGCAGAAGTTTGCAATTAAAGCTGTGAAACAGGGCTATTTTAGTATATTGTGGCGTACAACTACGATATGTGGCGCGTTGAGGAACGCGTTGGGTTGCATTGCAACCCGATATTAGATATATTGACTTTCATTGTTTGAAATTTTTATTTGTTGTGTTATAAGCAAATGTGTATTTATGTTTCATGTAGACTCGACCAATATTATAAAGTTGCAACAAGACGCCGTAACCACGTATTAGTTATAAAACTATTTTTCTCGAAAGCAAAGTGAAAGAGAAAGAAAAATAAAAAAAAATTAGCATATCTCGTGATTGCTTTTCCGCGAGGCGTCATTTAAATAATATTTACGTTTTACAATGGGCAAATATTATTGCAATGATAAAAACAAAAGGTAGATTGAGTAAATAAAATTGCGAAACAATAAACGTATGTTTGCTGACTGCGAAAAAAAAGCGACGTGCTTGTTCGCTTTTTAGCCGGTGCATGTAACCTTTTAAATGGGTAAACATTGATCGTTTTCACGAAGCTCTAAGCTTACGTGGCACTTAGGTTGCTTGCTTTCTCAACGGCATTTTCGTGACGCGTTTTAACCCTTCAAGTAAAGGCAAAAGTGTCGTCGATTTTGCAGAAATGATTGCTGTTATAATAAACCGCAAGGAAAGAGTTTAACGTGAAAAATTCGCGTCAAATCTCTATTTTAAAAGCGATACGTTCGAGATCTGTTTGCCGTCTGTTAATCCTTTCATGACCGCTGGTACAAATGAGTTCCACTTACAAAATTTAAAAAGTCTCGCGATTTGGCGTGCATTTAGTTAGAACTACGAGAATTGAAACTTTCAAATACCAACATCTTTTTCATTAGACTTCTGAACTGAGCGTTTTGAATATGAAAATGTTCTGCTATGCGGTCCGCAACTTATCCCGATATTATTTTGTGCATAAAAGCTAATAAAAAGAATTATAAGCGCAAAAACTATATTTGACTATGTCGATAAAAAAAAGATGGCTAAAAGACTTGACGACAATTTTTGCGCGAAATAGCGACGACTTTAGAGCCCAGGAATCCCGCATGTCAAACAATATGTTTCACCGAATATTTCAATATAGTTTACGCTTTGTAATAAAACTGGCACGCTTGTCGCATTTCACGGCGCATAGAAATTCGAAGAAATTGCGAGAATCCAAATACTCTTTGATGCTGGTCCAAAGGCGGCTGTCTCTCCTTTCAAAGCCGCTTCACGTGAAGCGACATGAAATGCGCGCTCCAGCCGTCGGAAAACTTTCGGCGGAAAGTTTTTCAGGATGATTCGACTAAAACGGGAAGAAAAATTCGCTTCGCCGCTAGTGGTTTCGGAAACTTTCCCCGAAAGTCACTGGACGATGAAAGAACGTCCAATCGATACCTCTTTGCCGCACTGTCCTTGTCTCGCGCGAACCATCCGCCGATATAAAGCTTTCTATCTACTTCCAGCGCTTTCGTTAAAACTTCACAGTCCGCCCGGCGTATAGGCATAAATAATCAAGTCATTCTGCTCGTGCTTTTCGCGAAAACAAGTTTAATATGGTTCCAAGATGATGTATGAGGGTCGTTGGAGCATAAATCGGGATTGTTTTTCCAATGAATCCGGCCGTTTCTTCGGACTAACCAAAATGAATAACATCAGAATTATTTTACGGTTGAATTGTACTTTTTTCCGCCTTTTTGCGAATATTAAAACGGAGCGGGAAAAACCGCTCCCCAACGATAAACACTACACAATTATCAACTTTTCCGGCGAGGAAAAAAAATTATATATTTAATTAAATATTTATTTCAAATATAACGTAATGCTTAATTAACGTGCGAACGTATTGTTATATATAAAAAAGTTGAAATAGCAGTAGCAAGTGCATGGCGATAGTGCAATTTAATAATTTTGCATAATAATGGAAGATAGGGCAGAAATTAATGACTATTCGCATCGTAATCGTGCGACACGCATTCATTAACGCAACATGCAAGCTATCTAAGATCCCCACTTCTCGTCTCACTTTATTTCCTTCTACGCGCGAGAACATCGGCCAAGGAGACCTTCTGGTGCTTCCTCTGAAACGAGCGAGCCAAAAGGGAACGGTTCACTTATCTAAAATGACATCGGCCGTCCCCACGTGCCCGCCAAAGAACTTATTCTGCAAGGGAGGGAGAGAGAGTCATTGTCGAAATTCTCTTTTGTGAGGATCGCCTTTCCCGACGAGCTTGAAAATTCGGTACCAACATGTCCAGTCTTCGTTCTCCTCGGCGGGCGAGAGGAACACACCCGGAGGACGGAATAGCGAGGGGAACGTAGCGAAGGGGATATTCATTATCCTACGTTACACCGTCGTCAGCCCCGGCAGCACGGGGAGTAATGTCTAAAGAGGTGTCGCGTCTTAAAAATTTAAGAGGGAATGTATCGCGCGGGTTTAACCTTCAGCGGGAGAATAATCGTCGCGCGGATGACGCCGGCCGAGAGCTGCTCCCGTTTAATCTTAATTTTTTTTCAAATAATTTCATTACGGCAGGTGTACGAGAAACGTACGTAACAGCCGCGGAGTCTTATATTTCGCATGCTTTTCCGCGCGATTTTCCCGTAGCGAAAAATAGCTCGAGGGGTATTTAACGTCGGGAAATAAAGTACCTCGGTGAATTTAACCGCGAAAACATGAATAAATAATCGCTTCATGTTTATGCATTAAATGCAAATTGGCACTTAATTAAAAATTGAAAGGTTGTATTAAATTACAGATATGTTTCATTGATTAAAAATACATATATTTCAATTGGGGAGAGACGCAGCGAGTGCGCCACGGAGCCCAATGGCGTTGCTCGCGCGTGCATGCCCGCATAAGGAATTAAACAATCGCATCGCGTATCGTGCATCCTAGTCCCTTGAAATTTGTATACCGGATATTTATTCGGCCGCGCCGCGCGACGAAACCGTATTTCTCCATACATGCGCCGCGTATGGATGCTATAGGAAAGAATTATTGCTCACCGCACGGTGAGAGATCACCCGTTTCCGCAGACGGACGATTCTCCAGCGTACCGCTCTTATTCTTCTTTATTTTCTTCATTTTATCAACGGCAAAGTGCGCGACTAGAAAAAGAACGTAACCACATTAGCAACCCGCCACTAGTCCCCGAGAAATGGTCTTGGGCGGAAAAAGGTCCGCCCTTTCGGACGACAAATGCTTGTGTATGTGCAATTCCAGCGAAACGGTCGACGGTTTTAATCACGCGCAAAGTACGTTCTCGTTCTTAAGAGGAACGTACGCAAGAAACGTCTCGGCGGCGCGACGATAAGACGCAAGACTTGTCGGAATTTACGCGAAATTTTTAAAACGCAAGTGCAAACATTAATTAATATTCACGTTAATCACAGCACGTGGGTGGTTTAGGTGCGAAAGGACGAGGGGTAAATTATAGAGGAAAGGCCTCTATTACGAGACAGGTTTCTAATATGAGACAGCAGGTTTTCAACACCCAAATTCGGCCACAAATCTTTTTTTCGCAACGATTGCACGATCTACCGATTTTCGACTAACCAGATTTCGCTCCAAAGACAAATTCATGGTGGAATCGACTGACGCTATTAACAGAAACCCCGCTATCCCATATTAGGATCCTATCTCGTAATAGGGGACTTTCCTCCACTAATATATTCATCACTGTATCGGCAACGTCGGTCTTAAGTTTGTTAAAACTTAGGCATAAGTGAATAGTTCGAAATCGGTACTTTACACGATCCGCTTGAATCGCACCTGTCACCCGCGACTCGGTCAATGAGAAAGAACGTCGGGGCGGTGTGATTAAAAGTTGTCGCATGAAGGAACCTCTGGCAGCTCGCTCGTGAACACGGAAACGTCATATAATAAACGAAAACGTAATTAAGGAATTATCTTAACCGATCGGTTTAATTGCAGCGCAATTTCTAGCGAAACAATTTAGACAGGTTGTCGCCGCTACACTGAACAAAAAATCTGGTAGAGTCCAACCAGTCGTCTGTAAGAAAATGGACGAATCAGAATTCCTTTAGGATTTACCAGTTGTGTAGCGAGGTCCAGCAAAATTCTGGTTATGAAATATCGGGCCCTATCGTGCTAACTAGAAATTCCGTTTGGTTTAGCCAAAGTACATTCTATCGTACACGTCTTGTTGACACAAACAAAGCACTTTTCTCAGTGCACGTAAATCTTTTCGCCAATCGACTGTGCGTATTTGCGTCGCTTTCTGTCGGCTCATTGGCTGGTCGCGATATAAGTGGCAATATATCCGTCCCGTTCTGGCGAAAATCCATCCTCGGAAAATTCGATTTTAAAAATCTACCGTTTCTCCGCGGAGAGAAGCGTGTGTGTAGTGTACAGGGCGCGAGGGCCTGGCAAAACACGCTCGTTGCGGCGATGCATCGATACGCCACGGTGCATTTTCACGCCGCATCAGCGCGTAATGGGCGGGTAAGCGCGTGGAGCGCGCGGTATCAGAGATCCGGCGTGAGCGATCTCTCTACACAGGGGCGGCGGAGGGCAGGGGTCGCGGAGGGGTCGGGGGGGGGGGTGGAGGAGAGGGAAGGGGAACGAATCCGTCCGTGAAGAGAGGAGGAAAGTTAATTCCAACGATTTCTAGGAATTCGTGGAAATATCGTTGCCCGCCTGGCTGGAGAGCCGCGCGCATATTGGCTTTATTTGCACATTTCGTTTCACCCCGTTCTCTCCCTCTCCCCAACTCTCTCGCTCGTTCGCTCGCGCCCGCCGCTATTCCTCTCTCGCCGGCGCATCTCAATTTTATCGTCACGTACCGTGCCCTCCCCCTTCCTTTGCCACCCCACACCTGGCCCCGTTCTATCCTTCCCTCCGTCTCCCGATTCACAAACCGGCGTCTAACCGGAGGGGGAGGTGGGGCGCCTGGAGTCGGGACACCATCCGAGAAGCCCCCAATTTCCGACGCCCCGGACGGGGCGAAAAGGGTGGAACGACACGACCCGTCTCGTCACTAGGCGAACGGTAGTTCCTCCGACTCGCAACCACCCCTGGCTTTTCTCGTTTCGCGTCTCCTTGCCGATGCACATCCCTTGGCCCCGTTCGCCGAGCTTTTTAAGCTCCGCCACCCCCTCTCCGTGCTGCCGCCTTCGCTCTCTTCACTCGCCGCGCTATCGAGGAAATCGCGCGCGTTACTCCGGCACGGATGTTTACGGACAAATCGGGGTGTCCCGGCGGTGCTTGAAAAACGTGAATTTTTCAGTAACCACAGCGGCATCGTCAATTGCCATCGCTGGTCCCAAATTGGTCACGCACGTGCGACTTGGCCCAACAGTACTTTTCATGATCGAATAATAATGTGAGATATATACGTTTCTCGTAAACGTATAATGTAGAGCGTAGTATGACTGGTGGGTCCATTCTCTGTCGGCCCCTTTGATCTCTGCGGTCCCGATCACGTGGTACTCCGCCATTGCTTTGGCCAGGGATTCAGCGGCGCGTGTGTGTATGTACAATGATGGACAGAATGGTCGCGACACTTTTTTAAGTTACATTCCAAAACCCATTTTGAGCGCTTTCAATCTGTTTCTCAAGTAAAATTTTCCTCAGAGAAAATATTTTGCAGCATAGTATTTTGTAGCTTTTATGAAATGGCTGCAAGTTGATCGGCAACACATTTCTCGAAACTAGAACTTGGACCAAGTTCTAGCGTCGTGGACACAAGCCCTTGTAGATTAAATCCCATTTATAATCGGTCAAAACAGGAAGATAATGTTGCGTTTCAAGGTAACGAGGGCGATGATGGCGCAACAACGGTTCGAGTTACCGTATTCACTTCAGCGATTACATGGTTAATATAACTAAAGATGCAAATGCGGGAAATTAATCGCACACTTTGTGCCAACATTCATTACAGCGGGCTGTGTGAGTGGAATGTATGTACGCGCGAGCAGGTGTGTCTTCGGAGAATAGAATATGCGACCTGTGCGCTGTTCCCGGCATCACTGTTACACATTGATATATGAGTGTGTGCTTAGATTGAAGGTGATTAGATTTACGGAGAGAGCTTGTCTCGTACCTCAGCATCTTGTAACTTAACCGCGAATGGGGCGCGTTATATCGAATAAGATACGTAAGACAAATTGATCAGATAAATCGACCATAGAAAACAAGTTATGTATCTTGCATAACATACACGGAAAAAGTTTTCTCTTAAAATTTATCCTGAAAAATATATAATCGTGGGACAACGTGGTATTTTCAAGAACTTTATGAGAGTTTTTTTGAAATTTTACCATACATAATAGCGTATACACTAAGTAGAGCTATTGTTACTTTTGATAACTTCGAAGATTCGAAGCCTCGAAAGAATTCGAAGATTCGAAGTTGCCTTCGAACTTTCGAAATCTTGGATGCTTCGAATCTTCTTTATTCGCGCGAGTGGCGAATTTATTTAATGAACACTAAAAAATATTGTAAATAAAACGCACTAATTTATATGTGTTGAAAAATAGGTAATTACTTTTCAATTATAATTTTAAAGTACTATATCAAGTATATTGCATATTTGTTTAATCACGCTTTGCTTGAGAATTGTGATCATGTGATTTACGAATCTCATCCAGATGACCTATTTGTCATATTCTACATTCATTATATTAATAAATTCTGCATACTACACAGTGTAATGCAATATTTTATAATATTGGCAACAATTTTAGATAAAATATTTAAATCTAAAGTACTAAATTATTTAATAATTTAAATTTTGTAAACAATTTCTATGCATGTTAATTTTTTCCTTTTTTAATTGATGTTACAATTGTATTGTTTTTAATCTTAGACACATTCGTATTACGTCGAAGCTTCGAAGTTCGAATGTCGAGGCCTTCGAAGGAAATCACCAGTCCTAATACTAAGTATAATTACTAGTAAAATATATGGTGAAATTTCAAAAAACTCTCATAAAGTTCTTCGAAATGCCACGTTGTCCCACGATTACATGATTGTCAGGAAAATAAATTTTAGAAAAGACTTTTCTCTGTGTAGAGATCAAAGATTCCTCAGCAAAATATATTTCACCGTCGGAAAATGAAGTTAATAAATTGTAATAATAAACGAAAATGCCTATGAGATCCGAGCAAGATATAGGTAGCCTAAAAAATTTTCATGTAGTGTATGAATTTATATACCGTTTTCCACTTGTCGGACACAATGCAGCATTATTTTGACGGAATCATTGTCAGCAAATTCACATATTAAAATCGATGAACGATTTCTAATTATTTTACAAATGCTATATTTAGCATTCAATACAATAACCCCCTCTCCGTGCTGTAAAGAAATCTTAATAAAATGTATTTTTCATGTACACGAATAGGAATATGAAATATTTTTAATAAACTCTTGATATATCATCCCGTTTTAACAGCAGATGGTTGAAATTTTACGGTCGTAAATTAACATGTAACGGAATAAGAGGAGTGAATCGCATTACAACGCAGCCATTGTCCGTGGACTTGAAATAAGTTTGATCGTTCATTATGCATGCTTCTACTTCCCTATGTCTTATTTTCCACTTTCTGCCTGTGGTAACTTCTTAATAATCATCCATCTTCCGCTTTCAACGCTGTGTCACTTCGTCCCGCTTTAGTTTCCCTCCCTTTTTCTCCGACCTTCTGTTATATACGAATATAACAGAATTTTATTACAGAGGGTGTCCCATATTAAATATATAATTGCTCCGACTCGCAGATCTTTTACTAATTAATATTAAATCAATGCTTTATCGAAAATGTGATGGCAACGCTACAGTTTTTCCCAATTTTATAGATGAAAGTCCCCTATTATGAGTTAGGCTTCTGATATAAGATTAATAGGCACCGTCTGTTGGTTCCACCATTTTATTTCCCTTGGAGTGACATCTGTTTTGTGGAAAATTTATTGTTAAATAGGGTAATCGTTGCGAAAATCGATTTGCGATTGAATTTGGATATCGAAAACCTACTATCTCACATTAGAATTCTATTTCATAGTAGAGAACTTTTCTCTAGTATCATTAAATATATATCTGTGCGAATAATTAGATTTTAATATTACGGTCTCATGTTTCGTTTGAAATTATCTGAAGCATGAATTTTTAATATCTATTGCGGCAGCTAGAAAGATGAGTAAAAATTTGGCAGAGGATTGATGTCAAGATTAAATCGCATTTTTTGTTTCTTTCTTACAAATTGACTTTCTGGAAATTCTGGGAGGTGTTTCGTATAGGTGTAATTCTTCTGCAGCAATTGATTCTATTAAATTAAATGTATTGTTACAATTTGATGCGCTACTTGCAGTATTGACGGTACCTGGATACGACGTCAGGGTAAATAGACAACCCGTCATGGAAGGCTGCAACGCAGTGTTGTCCTGTACAGCCCGGGAAGATGTTAAGGAACATCTCACTGTAACCTCCTGGTTTCGTGACGACGCTATTCTCCTACCTGGAAACACAGACACCGGTGAGTAACTGCGCGTTGCGATATAGCATTTGCTATTTTAATCTAAGATAGTGCGCGTCGACGCTCAACCTTCTCGAGATCAACCCCCAAGTCAGCCCCTGTGTTCGACAACGCGCGCGGAGTGCAACGTGCATTAACGTATCCCTCATTAATTTTTCGCCTCGAGCAAAATAAGAAATTGAAAGAAATTCTAGTGCCGCACCGTCAGTTTTTTTATCGATACGCACAGAGTTGAGTGCGAATTTGTGGTTTACGTGTAAGAGTTTAGTTTACAAACGTAAACGCGTGCATGGTTAAAGCGAATGAAGACCAAATATGAGACAGGGAATGCGTTCGGGACAAACGCTTATAAATGAAGAAGTCGGACTTAATATCCAAAAAAATAGGATTCATCCCTTATCGCTCTTATCGTAATCTCTCATGCATAGTAATTTTTAATCCTAGGGTCGCGTTACTTACGGGATTATTGCAACTTTTGTGAATTACGGTGAATTTCACAAGAAGAGAATATAATTCAAAAAGGAACAAATTAACGCGATTATGACCGCCGGCGAAGCAAGATGTACAGTGGGGGAGAGAAAGAAAGAGAGGGAGAGAGGGGAAGAGAGAGAGGGTGCGAAATGCTTGATCTCTTGGATGAACATCCGGTACGCGCACGAGCTCACAGATTCGCACACCTCCTCCCCTCTCACAGGCTCGCACACACAACACACACACACACAACCCACGTACTCGCACACGCACTACTCGGGCCACACACGTACGTGCGCTAACTCGGCGATTTAGATCGTCCTGTACACGCTCAAGCATTCATGTCCCATACATATTTATGCCGCTCGGTTGCACGTAACCGGTACCGGTGTGCGCGTAACTGTACGTACGCGTGTGCCGTTGGAATATCATGGGAAGCATCGCGTCATGTCGGGGCTTGATACGTTTGTTTCGTAACTAGGCGGCTAACATTGCGTCGTCCGCATATATACGAAAGCAGCATCCGCGCGTCGCAGGCCTCGCAGGGTGCCATGCGGTTACGTGTCCCTCCCCGGCCCGTCGCGTACGCTGACGAGGGGGGAGTTCTCCAAGTTATCGTCGCGCGCGTGCGGACGCACGCCGTCGCAAGAACGGTCCGTATCGCATCCGAAGACGACGTTGTCGATCCCGCCGTCCGTCAACGGACGTCGCGCCGATATCGGCGAAGACGGAGAGGAATGAAGCGTACAGGAATGAAGCGTACAACTGCACGCTGCATCGGCTTCGGCGAAATTATATCGCGAGATTAAGGGGATCCTTCAGCCATCTTTTTTTTACCGACGCGGTCAAATCTAGTTTTTGCGCTTGTAATTCTTTTTATTAGCTTTTATGCACAAAATAATACCGGGATAAGTTGCGGACCGCATAGCAGAACTTTTTCATACTAAAAACACTCATTGTCAGTTCAGAAGTCTAATAAAAAAGATATTGGTATTTGAAAGTTTCAATTCGTAGTTCTGACTAAATTTGAAATTGGCTTTATAAAATTGCAAAATTCTTCCACACGATTAAGGTATACGCACAAAGACAAAACCAGGGACAGTCGTACGTGATTGAGATTAGTTAACCTCAGTCATTTATAAAGTGATATTTTTAACTTCTCTTCTTTTTTTATATAAAGTAGACTGTCCCTGGTTTTGTCTTTATGCGTTAGATATTAGATTTCTGAATAGAGTTTAAGTGAAAGCGTTTTCTATGCGGCCCGCAACTTATCCTGGTATTATTTTATGCATAAAAGTTAATAAAAAGAATGACAAGCGCAAAAACTATATTTGACTGTGTCGGTAAAAAAAGACGGCTTTGTTCAGACCCAACATGGAGTCAGGATGAAGTCAAAATGACATCATAATGGTTACAAAAATTATATTACCATGCGCGCCTGCTTGAATAGGCAACTCGTCGTACTGACGTGTATGTTGCTGTAACACCCTGTACATACATGTCATAGACTTATATACGTATATAAGTCTATGATACATGCGCACCCTCGAATTGAGACAACAGCTATACCGAAACGACGAGACCGCCGTCGCCAGAAGACAATTTTTCTCCTATTCTTTTGGCCTCATTTGTAGCGGGATTAATGTCACTCAACGAAGGGAAAAGGAATTAATATTTTACCTGTCGATATATTTATCCTGAAAGTGGCATTAAGAGGATCCCTCGACTATCGGCGGACTTCTTCAACCACCTTTTTTACCGATATACAGTCAAATTGTATAGTCTTTGCGCTTGTAATTCTTTTTATTAGCTTTTAGATGCACAAAATAATACCAGGATAAGTTGCGGACGGCATAGCGGAACATTTTCACATACTTAAAACACTCAGTTCAGAAGTCTAATAAAAAGATTTTATAAAGCCAATTTCAAATTTAGTCAAAACTACGAATTGAAAATTTCAAATACCAATATCTTTTTTATTAGACTTCTAAACTCAGTGTGTTTTAAATATGATAATGTTCTGCTATGCGGTTCGCAACTTATCCTGGTATTGTTTTGTGCATAAAAGCTAATAAAAAGAATTACAAGCGCAAAAGCTATATTTGACTGTGTCGGTAAAAAAGATGGCTGAGGGATCCTCTTAAACTTTAATACCATTTATTTCCGTATTGTAACGTAGAATTTGTGGAAAATATCGGATTCATAGAAAACAATAGAGGTAATTTTTTATTAAAGAAATTAAGAGACGTGAGACTCGTGTAGTGGTCTTTGCAATAGCTATCACGTCGTAACGTCGCAGATATCACACTGATTCGAGAACATGAAATTCCGGTTGTACGTTGCGGGAAGAACATGACATTTCTATCATTGACTCACGCGCACACACCGCAAGGATATCGAATCTGCGACAATAGTTCTTGTTAGACATCGTAGGGAGGAGAACCACTCGGAATCCATTCCTATTCGTGATGAATACATCTCCCGCAGATCCGGGACATATCATCATTAGAATCGTATTATTCGAGCTAAGAGAAAATGTCCCTTCACAGGTTGTAATAAAATTCGGTATAATTTTAGAGGTAATCTAATTAATTGCTCGATACTTTGTATATGTAAGCCCTCGTTTAAATTTGGAAAATAAAACTATGTCGTACACGGGGAGAATTGTCTCTGAAAATCGTGTAATTGTGGGGCAACGTGGCAGTTTGAAGAGGTTTATAAGAGTTTTCTGAAATTTTACCACACATTTCACTAGTAAAATGTATACTAACAAGTATAATTATTAGTAAAATGTTCGGTAAAATTTCACGAAACTCTCATAAAATTCTTCGAAATACCGTATTTGTCCCATATTACATGATTTTCATGATAAATTTTAAAAGAAAATTCTCTCCGTGTAGAGTCCTTTCATCTTGAAGTAATAAACGAAAAGTAACAAACTTATAAACACAATGAAGTCATTTTAGAACAACTGAAATGAGAGGACACGTGCATTCGCAGTGACTCCGCAATTTTTCACTCTTTGAGCAGCAAGTCGGAAAGTGACATTGCAACATGAAATCCATCCCGAGTGAAAATATTGTTCCGACATTAATTATTCTCCGCAAGGGATAGCGGCGCGCGAAAATCCGTAATGTTCCGAGCGCGATGAAAAAAAGATTTCTGGCAGGTCAATCCCAGATAGTCAGACAGCTTTAGCAAGTCGGTAGACCGGGCTGCTCGATGGCTGTCCGATGGTTGAGCCAAATTGAAAATTTCACGCCTGATGGTACACCCGTCCGTGATCCGAAGAGGTTTCATCGACAGATGCTCAGGATTTTGCATAACCCTTTGCTCCCGCAGACTTGAAATACGAGGGAAAATATTACTGGAACCGCGTGCACGTTCAGGGATTTATTATTGATATTTCCCAGCTTCTGAATTCTGAGGAGTCGAATAGTATTTCCGCTCAGTCTGCCGCACTATAGAAGGAAGTGGAATAAATCGCCAAGTCGATAGAAGCATTTCCTCGCTGTGATAGTGATGAGAGGGAAGATTTTTATTCGGATGAAATATCTTCAGCGCTGTGCATTGAAATTTTTCTGGTTCTAATCTGTCTGTACATGTATGTACTGCATTCTGCGCAGAAGTCGCGCGCTTTATCTGAACTGAACTCGCGGGAGCTCGTATTAATAATCGTTGTTTCGAATGCTCATTCAATAAATGTTACAAGTGACTGAAAATTTGTCGAATTACATTTTGTACAACAAAGTCTCCTTATTCAATTATCACTGAGCATAGAGAAATATTTTTAATTAATTATGCACTTAATATATGCTTATTAAAACGACAAGTTTTTAATAAAAGTTTGGCGCGAGAAAACTTGGTATTGAGTTTGCTAAAGAATCTGCAATCGAGAGAAAGCGCGGGATGCTCGAGGCACGCTGTATATTATCAAATCGATTTGTATACGCGTCCTGATTTTGTTGGCAGGTGGAAGATTCGTAGTTACCTCGCAGGGTGATCTTCATATTAGGGCAGCCAGACCGGAAGACGGCAGAGCGACGTATTCGTGTCTAACCCTACATGCCTTGACCAGCGAACGAAGGAAGAGCGAACCTGCCACTTTAACAGTCACGGGTAACCGCCAGAACCGGATAATCCTTTTGCGAGATAAATATAAAATCAAGATCCGGATTAAAATTTAATCTACTTCCGCGGATTCCGCTGTATAATAGAGTGGCCAGGAAGATTATTCCTTGCCACTCGTTCATCTCTTTTAAATTTATTATCTCCATTTTATTTGTAGAACCAACCGGTACCTCGCCGCCGCGATTGATGCAACGACCCGAAATCGCTATTTCCGCCGAAAGCGGTTCCGACGTTCACCTCACGTGCTCGGCGCAAGGAAGCCCGCCGCCGCAATTTACCTGGTATCGCGATGTTAATGGTTGGTTTAATTAGGGGAATGTTTATCGAATAAGCTATGTTAACGGTAGCGCCGAACAAACTACCAGCTGTGTTCAAACATCGATTCCTCGATAGCGCTAATACTGTATTAAGCTTAAACAATGTTGTCACATTACGAATGCATCAAAAGTAAGAAGAAAAACCGCTGCATTTAGCATAGATATATCTCTTTAATATTGAAACGCGCTATCGAACACCAACTATAGAAGAAAAAGAAATCTATTTGTTTTATCAAACGACCTGCTCTCGCTAAAAGTCAATCAGCGGATTATCACTGAAAACAGTGAATACTAATCACTGAAAATCGCAGCGGTATACTCGTAACTGTACATCAGTGACTGTTGACTCTATTCAGTGAATTCACCAATTGATTTTTAGAGAGCATAAGATGTTGGAAATTTTTCTCACTCTCGTGTACGAAACATTTGACAATTATCGACATTCGGAGCAAAGCAAATCTGAACGTATACACGACACACAAATAATTTTGTGGATATGACCGTTACAGGACAGACACATCTGAATGTCTTATTTCAGGCCACTCAATACCAGTCGAATCGTACGGCCGTATCCAGCTTTGGGGTGACTTGATGCAAATTCGTCGCGTAGATGCACAAGACGCGGGAAGATACGTTTGCCGGGCCAGCAATCAGCTTGGCGAGCAACGAGCGGAGACGCACTTGTCAGTCACATCAAAGCTAAACGCTCGGATTCAGCCGCGTGTGCAAGTATGAGTCTGATTTATGCAGATGGATAATTTTCCTCTAAATGTCCACGACATTTTACATCTATTACCAGACTAAAAGAGAGATAATGGCGCAAAGGTAGAATATTGTCACGCACAAAGGGATTATCTTCGAAATTCAGGAATTAATGTAATAAAAACTTTTGTGAAACTTTTAACCATGAAACATTACGAGGCTTATACCTAGACGTATAGTGGTGAAAGTTGTTTATCCGATATATCAGGGAAAACAATTAATGCAAATCAAGTATTTAATCCACTTACAGATCACAGTGTTCTACTTTTATCGTTAGCGTAATGGAGAACTGGGTTAAACTAAATATGATTGCGTTACCTATACTTGTGGTAATTGCGCCTACGATAATTAATTAACAATTATTTCTTTTTCCCTTCCTCTCTCTATCAACAGCATAAAATTAATTAAAACAGTTATTAAATGATGATCATTCAATAATTAATTCATCACAGATTGGCACAAGTATAAAAACATATTAAATGTGTTATTAACGTAACAAAAGCTATTCCCCCGAGGATATTAGCCTTTATTGCCTGCTGAGGAAAACTTCGAGAACGTCAACATTAAAAATCGCAGAGATAGACGCGAATCCGACCCGATCGCCAGGTATAACAAATAGATTCGCTTGTTGTTATTCGCAGGTCATTAATTCCGGCGAGACCGCCACGATGAACTGCACGGTCGAAGGATATCCGGTCGAGAGCGTTGAGTGGCTACACGACGGTGTGCCAGTATTGACCGCACAGGACACGAGGATCAGATTGTTGGCTCCCTTGGTGCTCGTGATAGGCTCCGTTGGTCGCAGAGATAAAGGGATGTATCAGTGTTTGGTGAGGAGCGACAAGGAAAACGCTCAGGCAACCGCCGAACTCAAGCTCGGAGGTCAGCGAACGCATCGTACATTTTTATTGTTTCTAGTATCCGTTCTACCTTACTTTCGCTCGGCTGTTTCTATCTATTCTTGTTCTATCATTAATTTATATGTATATACCTATATATATGTTGTCACGCGCTCCTCCGCCGCGCTCGGGCTCGTGATGCGACGGTGCGCGCACGATCAAAAGGGGCAGAAAGGACAAGAGGGGAAAGGAGACAAGGAAACGAAAGGGAAAAAGAGCAGGCAAAGGGCCTAAAACGCGCACTAGGCAGCGTCAGTTCGCGAAAACATTAAGGCTTCGGCCGCGATAATTATCACTAATCGACACCGCCCTTTACACGGGGAATCGACTGGCTCAACCTAACGATAAAGGGGCAGGGTACTTAGAGGTGGCGCGAAACGAAAGGGCTAAAACGGCGGCAGGGCGGTGAAATCGAGTGCAATAATTAAGGTAACAATTAATACGACCGCGGTCGATTTGGGTGCCTCGCAGCCCCAAGAAATGTTAGGGCTGGCGGGGCGCCGGTCCGGACTCCTTGGAGATTTACTCGACCTCCACCGGATGTAGGGGAGGCTTCGCTATAGGTGTTGTTCAGCTGGGGCTTCACTTCGATAGTCCTATTCACTGTTTTCAGTGATAATCTACTGACTTTTAGAGAGCAGGACGTCTCGGTTTTAGGGCGATCCTCTTCAAGTCTTCTTCGCATCCTTGCTTGACCTCCTCGTTCTCCGCGCCCCTCGCGACATACCAAACTTCTTATTCCTTGAACGTGCCTCGTTGCGGATGACACGACGAAGTGTCCGCTCGGGAAATTATTGTAACTTAAAAAAATAACATAACAAGCGTAACGGAAAACATTAAACATTACCTTGGAAGTTTCGGATAGCTTTCGCGGGTCCCCGACTCGTCAGGGCGGTGCGAACCGCGCCTTGTGACGGCGGAGGAGCGCTGTCACGCGGCAACAAAACGTCGACAATACATACAATGTAGTACGTCTATTCTTTACGTTCCATTATTAGATATAATATTTTAACTGTTCATTGCTTTCCGTACGTAAATTTGTCTTCTTCCGAAAGAACTGGGATGGGGTCTGTTTTAAAAAACGGATTTTGGAAAACAAATTTTTAGACACGGTTCCAGAACTCCAGTACACGTTTATCGAGCAGGCGCTACGACCGGGCCCGCCGGTTTCCCTGCGATGTTCCGCCACCGGTTCACCGACGCCCTCCTTTACGTGGCTGCTCGACGGTGAACCACTGAGCCAGATTGCGACTGGACACAGGTAGATCGTACCTATGTACCGATATATTGACATTATATCACGCTGTCTTCTAATCAGGAACTATACGCGTAGATACGCGATAGGCCAATACGTGGATCAATCCGGTGACGTGATCAGTCACTTAAACATTTCATCGGCGGGAGCTGAGGATGGTGGCCTGTACGCTTGTGTGGCGTCCAACACTTTGGCGACCGTCGAGCACAAAGCTAGATTGAACATTTACGGTACGGCACGCATTTTACATTATTTTGTATTAAATACATACAAATATAATCACGTATTAGGATGATTTTTAAGTGCGAGCATCTCTCTTAAATAGAATAAATTTAATCGGCCAAATTTTCACGATACGAATGCAAGTTTTTCATTTACGCCGAGTGCGTTAAACGGATCTATTAAAGTTACACTCTTAACTATTGAGAACAGCGTAAAAATTTTAATTGGAACTAGGAAGAGAGTCTCGAATAAGCACGAGAATTGATTTAGCCCGTGTGGAAGCGAGTTCAAAGCTGGGTAATTCTATAATAAGAAACCACTTTTAGGACCGCCGTACATCCGATCGATCGGCCCGGTACGTGCCATCGCTGGTGTCGACATTACAATAGCGTGTCCTTACTCAGGATATCCGATCACATCGGTCGGATGGACCCGAGGTGGTGCCGAGTTGCCCTTTGACATCAGGCAGCGGGTCGACAGCGAGGGCCACCTTACGATTCTCACGGTAGACCCGAATGATGCCGGTACTTACACGTGTATAGTTCGAGCAAGCTCCGGAGAGACCGCCAACAGAGATATATTATTAACTGTTAATAGTAAGTGAGAACAAAAGAATGGTCAACGTGTGAGGCAGAGCAGTAGAACTAATTAGGTTGGATGTTTCAATAAATTTATGTAGTTCTGAGAACGTTCCAATTGTATCGCCTATTTAACGACAGCTAAAACGGCCAAAACTAGCGAGAAAAACGAATATACACCAAGGGCGATACCCAGCGAGGAATGACTCATCGATCGAGGTCAAAACGATATCGAATCGACATCGACACAGTCAAATTGACGTCAATTTGACATCGTTTCGACATCGATCGACGAATCATTTCTCACCGGGTAAGTTACTGATTGGTGAAGGAGGCAATAATCTAAACGTTTTCCTTCTTTCTATATAAGTTTAATGGTAGACTAATCGTACGAACATTTTTGAATAACAATAAAGTAAAAGCGATTTAAAGTGAAAATGATCACGGAGTAATTCGAAATGATTTTCCCTTTGCTTTATTATTATCGGAAATGCATTGATATATTTTTGAAGAATTAGACGATATAATATAGGAGCATGTAACTCTTCCATTTGTGCGTACTTCGCAGGTCCACCAGTAATGAGTCCCTTCAGCTTTCCCGCGAATTCGCAAGAAGGCAGTCGTGCTCAAGTGACTTGTAGCGTGACATCGGGCGATCTTCCAATCTACATTTCCTGGTTGAAAGACGGCGAGCCACTGCCTTCCTCCCTTCGCGTAAGCATTATCTCACTTCACAAAGTTCAACTTTATACGAGGAAAATATTCGACAATTTCTCTCTACGCTCTCTTTAATTTCTGTGTCTTCGACGACAAAAGATAAAAAAAGTAATATAAACTGCAACTTCATGTAAAACTATGCACATATTTTATCTACAAAAACTAATTTTTAATCCTTTTATATTTTTCTTCGAAAAAGTTTCTTCTCTTGAAAACGAAAACACACAGTTTCTAATAATAAAAATGTTCCTGTGAAAAATATTCAGCTTTGGTGAATAATGTTCTTTAAACAAATGGAGGGCTCGATAAGAGCAAATTTTAAAAATAGCATATGAGACAATAGAGCGTTTTCGACTTTATAATGTGTAGAGAAGAATATCATTTCTCAAGTTCTCTTCTGACTCGGAAAGTATGTATCTTTTAGACTCCTTTAATTGAGATAATAAAAGTGGTGCGATGTTTGTGTTTCACGTAAATCATATTAATTCCTAGATGTGTCTGCGTTTTCGTTGTACAGATTGAAGAGCGAGGTGCCGAGTTCTTCAGCATCCTTGTCTTCAAGGAACTGTCGTCGCGGCACAGCGGCAAATACACCTGCGTGGCCACGAACAGCGCCGCGAAGGTCAACCACACGGCCGAACTTTTGGTAAAAGTACCGCCTCAATGGATATTCGAACCGTTAGACATAGCGACCCTCCTGGGCAATCCGTTGAATGTCCATTGCGAGGCCAAAGGTTTTCCACCGCCGCGTATCACGTGGCTACGTGCCAGAGGCAGAACCTCCAACGACTATCAGCCGCTGGTTGATGGTTCCGATGGTAGACTCACGATATTGCCTAATGGATCTTTGTGGACGGCTTCCGCCGGTCCGCAGGATGAGGGTTACTATCTCTGTAGGGCTAATAACGGCATCGGGTCTGGACTAAGCAAAGTGATATATGTGTCGGTGCATGGTAAGAATACGAATAATGTTTAAATTATCAACTTATAAAGATCCAATAGAAAACGTAAAAATACGAGTACATTAATTTTTTACAATTAGTCATAGGAAAATGAAAATGTCGATTACTTCGTGGATTTAGATATATTTTTTTGGAACGTGATTAAATAGAAGGAATAAAAAATAATGTCTGGTTGATAATAAAAGGGCCTTTCTTCTTTAATCAAAATCTCTAAGAATCGCTTAGTTTATCCAGTAATTTCACTTCAAATATGATATTTAAAAATTATTACAGATCCCGCTGAGCAAGCACCAAGTCAAAATTTATAATCTGTATTTTTGCAGAACCGGCAAGGTTTGAGTTCCAGAGTAAAAATGTGACGATTCGTCGTGGAGAATCCGTGACCATTGATTGCACCGTAATCGGCGATAATCCCATAGAGGTTCAATGGATGCACAACAGTGATCGATTGGATATGAGCAATCATAGACTAAGCATCGGCCAAATAAAGACTGACAACGGCCTCAAGTCCCAATTATCTGTTGCAAACAGTGATCGGCAAGATTCCGGGGTCTACAGATGCACCGCTGATAACGCTTACGGTAGAAGCGAACACCTGATTTACTTAGCAGTCCAAGGTAAAGCACACACGTTTATTGTCGAGCTTTCCCATTTCGCGCGGATCAGCGTTAATTTTTATTAACAGCCACGCATCCGAATCGGCGTGCAACAAAACCGCTTTACGCTAAATCATGTTTGTAGAGAGGCCGGATCCTCCAGCTGGACTCGAAGTAATAGAGATCGGTTCACGATCAATACGGTTATTATGGAAGCGAGCCTTCGACGGAAACAGCCCTATAAGAAATTACGTGATACAATATCGTTCGCTGAGCCACGGCATGACCGATGATTGGAATCCCGTTAAAACGCACAATATCACGTACACGCCAGGAAGCTCCAATAGCGGTAATTCTATACATCCGACTCAAAACGGTTCGTCCACATGCTCCGATCGATGTCGCGGCTCTGTGCTCGTCCCCTACGTAACTTGTATCAATTCTAGGCTTATCTCCGTTCGAAACCACCGGCGACGACCAAGAGGTAGCTCTGGTCGGTGGTCTTCATCCGGCTGTTACCTACACTTTCAGGATATTCGCTATAAACTCTATCGACGCGAGCGGACCCACGGAACCTGTCGTGGCGAAGACTCAGGAGGAAGGTAGGTGCCTCGTATGACAACGCGATCGTATGACTGAAGCCTTACTGCATTGTATAACATTGATATCTGCAACAGCACCTACCGAACCCCCGCAAAACATCAAAGTGCAATCTGCCGGGCCTGGAGAGCTCATGGTCAGTTGGCAAGTAAGTAACGCCAATTCAGAGACGTGTGAGATAAGGTATTTACAAAATACTTTTAAGGTGAATGCTCTTGAAACAAGTAACGTATCGATTACGTGTGTAAAAAATCGAGAAATAATTGGAAAATGCGACACTTACTTTTCAGCCACCCCCGAAAGAATCGTGCAACGGGGATCTGCTAGGGTACATAGTGACGTGGTCGGAACATTCGTCGTCGACTTCGGGTGTCAATCAAAGTAAAAGTTTAACCGTAAACGGTTGGGCGACGACGAAGGTGCAGCTAACCGGTTTAAGAAAATTTACGAAATACGACATTTCGATCAGAGCCTTCAACAGCATTGCCAGTGGACCAGCTAGTGCTCCCATCGTGGGCACTACACAAGAAGGAGGTATAAAAAGAACGAGAAATCATATCTATGTGCGAAGCAACAGTGGCAGAACATATTTAAATCTCCATCCACATTCGCTTCGCAGTACCGGAAACGCCACCGACTCAAGTGACGTGCGTTCCATTGTCATCCCAGAGCGTCAAGGTGTCTTGGAGTGCGCCTCCGCCTCATCAGCACGGCGGAATTATTCAAGGATACAAAGTCTATTACAGACCGGTTCCTACTGATAACAGTAAGTTGCTACGGGAATATTGACGGACAGAAATTCGCAAGAATTTAATCCTGTAAGGCATCATTGTGTTTCACAAGATATTAATTAGATGTTTAATTTTTTTTCCCTATCGCAGTGGACATATCAACGGTTGGCGAAGTTAAAAGAACCTCCAGCATGGACACCTACCTACACACGTTGTATAAATACACGAATTACTCCATCAAGGTATTGGCTTACACAGGCGCAGGCGACGGAGCGTTGAGTCCACCGATCTTTTGCATGACGGAAGAAGATGGTGAGTTATCCAATTCAATTTTCGTAAATGAGAACTGTTCATTTCGAAATGTAAAATAAACAATCCGGCTTTCTTTTGCAGTTCCAGGTCCACCCGCTGGCATTAAGGCATTGGCGTTAACGGCGGAAAGTATATTGGTCTCCTGGTTGCCGCCGTTGCAGCCTAACGGGAATGTCTCAAAATACACCGTGTATAGCAGAGAAGCTGGCTCCAAAAATCATAACGCGCACACGATGCACGAGCCACCATTGTCGCCCACGGATACTCTCACGATGGAATTACGAGATTTAGTGGAGAGGTGTGTATGTTACAACGTATTGCAATAATTCTGACCATTTTTGGCAATGCCTTTTACAAGCCGATTCTTAATTTCTCAGGCAATTGTATGAGTTCTGGGTGTCTGCAACGACCGGCCTTGGAGAAGGAGAACGGACCACCATAGTTACGCAAACAACGAATACCAGAGGTGCTTGTGGATCACATATCCGAAAGTCTACTTTTAGAATTTAGATTTCTAATTTATTTGCCGCGCGCCTTCTACTTCGCCTAGTGTACTTCTCGTAAATGTTGTTGTCGTATAATCGTATAAGAGCGTAGAACTCATTCCGTAGCTCCTGCTAGAGTGGCGTCGTTCTCGCAAGTATTAAGAAGAGCTGTAAAATCGTCGGTCACGCTGTCGTGTTTAGTGGTCGGGAATCCTACGCCACGACCTATTTGGACATATAAAAATAATCAAATCACCACTGGCAGGCATTACGAGCTCACGTCCGACGGACACCTTAATATACGCGGTAAATATCTTACCTTCTAATTTATTCCCCGATACCTGCAGAATTACTGCGTTTGTTCTAGAGTGCAAAACTGAAATCTGTAAATTATTGCTACGATGATCCTTGATCGCCTTTCAGGATTGGAGCAGTCGGTCGCAGGGAATTACACTTGTTCGGCCAGCAACTTATTCGGCGACGACTCCATCACGTATTCATTAGTTGTAGTGATGCCGCCCAGAGCACCGTCGTTAGAATTGCAATATACGACAACCAACAGTATCAGATTTCGTTGGAATCATCCTGACAATGGCGGTGCTACTATACAAGGTACCAAAAGGAAATAATCGCGTCGCACATGTACTTTTTACTAAAGTACCTTTCTTTTGTATCAGGATATGTATTAAGCTACAAGAGGGATCAGGGTGGATGGGAAGAAATTGCCTTATCTCCCGAGCAGACGGAATTCGTGCTTTCTGGATTGAAATGTGGTTCTTCCTATTTAGCGCATTTAACAGCACACAATCGCGTCGATACCGGCGACCCGAGTCCACTGATTAGCGCAACAACGAAGGGCACCGGTGAGAATTTACGAGCAATTTAAAGATAAGCTGTAAAATTGATTGCTTGGCTTAGAAACGAGTTCAAATGCCGATTAATATGAATTTTTCTATTGAAACAGCTATTAAACTTCTCTCAATCTGTATTTCCAGCGCCCCTATTGCCTAAGGAAAGAGACATTATTTCGGCAAACGGCACGTCAGTGAAACTGAATTTATTATCTTGGCCTAACGGCGGATGCCCCATTCAATATTACACCGTCGAGTATCGTAGGCGCGTCAATACAGAACCGTGGATTTTAGTGGCCAGTAGAGCGACCGATAACGTCGTGATTCGTGACTTAAAAACGGCATCGTGGTACAGTCTACGTTTAACGGCTCACAACGACGCTGGCTCGACGCAGACCCAAATGGAGTTCGCCACAACCACGTTAAGCGGAGTCAGTATCGGTCCGCCCAACGATCTGATAATGGAAGACGATATCAAGAAGACTGTGCCTAATCACAAAGTTCTGTATGTTATCGTACCGCTCATCTGCGCAATTGTTTTGGTTGTTTCTGCAGTTGTCCTGGGATACGTCATGCTTAAACGTAGCGGCAGGTAAAGCATAATACCTTGCCGGTTCTTGTTCTTACTTCACTTACTTACCACTCAGAGTTGTATTAATTGCTGTCCTTTAACGTTGTTTTTCGACAGAACGAACTATCTAGGCGAGATATTACCGGGACAACAGCAGCAGCAACAAGCTGGATTGGGAATAGTCCAACAGCAACAGCACCAGCAGCAGCATCATCACTTGTCCAGTTGTATGTCGACCGTACAACTCAAGTCGACGGCCGAACGAGACAACAGACGTAATCATCAGGTTTACACTAGCTCGCCCGTGAAACAAGAAAATCACAAATCCACCGATCACGGATCTGGTATGTGTATCCGCGAGACAATGAATTATTCGTAAATAACGTAACTACACCCTTGCGAATGTGCTGTTACCTTTCGCAGAAATGTATGAGATAAGTCCATACGCCACGTTTAGCGTTCCCGGCAGAGAGAACCGTTCGGTCACGACTGCGACGCTCGATTACACGATGCAATTCAAGACTTTTGGTCATTTGGAGAACGAGGACATCAACACTATTGATTACGAGAGGTCCAGTGTGGAGTTCGAAAGGTAACTGTCTTCTTCCGTCGCTTCTTAACTTCCGGCTCTTCATGAAACCAATCCGTTTCGCGTTTGCGCCTCCGTTTTCCTTCTCTTCTCTTCCTCTTTCTGGTGTTCTTTGACGTGCAGGTCGAAAACACCAAGGTGGCACAAGCAACGCTACTTTCCGAGCATCGCGGAAGCCGAGAGCAAGCTGCGATCGAGTCGACAAGGCTCCGGGAGCGACACGTCCGGAAGCCCGTGCGGCGAATGCGCCGGGCCTAGTTATAGAGTACCAGTAAAGCCTTGTAGAGGTGCAATTATACATTTCTACTTGCACAATTTTGTAAATCGATATGAAAAGAAATCGCGTAGAAAATAATTTTTTTAGGGTCGCACCGATTGTAACTTGAATAAATCTTTTGTGTATAACAATGTGATTCCTTACAGATGTATTTTCACGAGGTGTTGAATCGAGTACAGAATCTAACAACGAAGGTTCGCCCTCACTCGCGAGACGACGAAGCCGACAGCCGAGCCGGTCTACTCGCAGGTAGCCAAGGTTTGTTTGTTTCCACATAGCACTCAGTCTTGACTATTCAATATCGGCCTCTCATTATTCTCACACTGACGCGAGAGTGAAACGCAATGACGCCAGTCATATTTAGCAATTAAAAATGTTGTACGAGCGTCAAACATTTATGTTATTATCATTATGGTAAGACATACCATACATCTGTAATTTGAAAATGCATATATCCCAATAGTACGTTATGATACATGCGTATATATGACACAGTTTTACGTCATTGCGCTTCGTTCTAGAGCCTCATATTTTATACGATGTAAGATATCAAACATAAAAAAATGTTCTAACACGTTTTCTATTATACATAAAAACATAATCACATTTTCTAGAACAGATTTAACTCAACCTTCACATGATTGATAAAAGAGTTATCCTTACATGTATAAAAGATGTTGTGTGTATGTACTACCTTACTCTATGTATATTTAATCTGTGTAATATCGATAGTTGGCAATAACCAGAGACGGTGCTAAGCTATTTGGCGCCTCCATATAGTATTTAAATCAACCTATGTATGTACATGTAATATACATACGTGAAGAAAATGGTTAATGCATTCTGAATAATTCAATAGTGTATTTTGCTTTCGTTATAAGTTGTTTACTTATTATTCTCTGAAAGATACCGTTCGAATTGCTTCGTCGCAAAGGCGCATTTAAATGGGCGGTATTTTTCAATCATTTTCAAAATTCACGAAACTTTCTCCCCCCCGGTACCTTTCAGAGAGTAACAAAGTGCACAAAAGTAACAAAGTAAACAAAATTCTCCATCTGACTCGACAAATGTATCCACTGACATTTGTTTGACAGTTCGGTGGAGGATATGACGCTATTGCCGCCAAGCGGGTTCAGTGACAGTCGCGAATTGAGCGACGTGGAGTGCGACCGTGACCGTGATCACGAACGCGATCGCGAATGGCAAGGTTTATCAACCGGAACCCGTCACGGCGGCAGTTTGGGCAGACTTCCGATCGAGGCCGTCGAATCTATGCTCGCTAGGTATCGGCGATCACGAGTCTCAAGCATGCCGAGTACCAAGCAGCCGAGACCGGTCTAATTCTCATAAATTTATTTGTTTGTACATAGGATGCCTCGCGAGTATCGTTACACAATAAAATCGGAAGAAGAATGATCGTTTGGATACTAATATTTCTTAATTAGTAGCATATCTTTCATATATATATATATATATATAATATTATACTAATTTTAAGTACCCAACAGTGTACTTGTGATTCAAAATTCGTAATGTTAAATTCGACTCAGTGAATAATCGCCACTGTTTCTACTCAATATGCCATTAATTTAACTGACTAATAGAGTTCAAAGGAATCATAGAAATGAATAGAGTAGAGAAGATATAGTTGTTTTTTTAAATGCAGTATTTAGTGTTAAAATAAAAAATGTTACCACACATGATAGTCCAAAATACTAGACATATTGAGTAAGAACAGTTGCGACTACGCATTGAGTCAAATTCAACACTACGAATTTAATAGTGTAGATCCGGGTGTAGATTACATTATTTAATAAAGATTTTAGTTATCGAGATAGTTCAAATATCAACTACTCAAGACGAAGAATAAAACTTTCTCTAAATAAATTTGAAGTATCATTGAATATCGTGTGAAAATTACTATATATATATATATACTCGCTTTCGATTTTAGAACACGAGACACTTGAAAATTAATAAGAAAGAGAATGACAGAAAGAATTAAATAAAATACTTTTAAGAACAAGAACATTATCCGTTGCAGATATCAGCAAAGGAAGGAGCAAGAAAGACAAGAATTCACCATACATGTATGATCGAGCTTCGCTGGTTCGACTTGATATCTTCACCGGACAATTTAACGTTATTTAGAAAGAGGTGACAAGTCATCTCTTCTCAAAACTATCCGTCGCCGCTGGAGAAAATTTTAATATGTTAGAAAGAATGTGAGGAACAATTTGATTTTAAATGAGGATGGATATGTGATAGAAGAGATTCTCAGGTCCATGTGTGTCGAAGAGGCGTCTTGATAACGATTTGCGTTGCGCGAAATACTGCCGTTATTATATACAAAACATGGCCTTCGTAATCTTGTATGTGCCACATACGACGAGTAACGCCGAATTTTAAGAAGAACACGAACACCGAAATCTTGTCGGCGATGTTCACAATTAAGCAATCAAGAAGTAACGGAAACATTCGATGATTAACTGTACGTTTTTTGATAGCATTTATTCTTTCTATCACCGAATTACGATTACATTATCTTTACCGTACGGGACGTCATTACGATAAAAAGAAACAAAGTCTGATTGACCGATCCATTACTTTCGCGACGACCAATTATCGATATACAGGGTGAACGCCAACTTTCATACGATTACCTCCGCTTCACTAGTGCGATTTACTTGTTAACGAGCTATTCTACGTATGGTTATAGCAATGACCGATTATTCGCGGTAATGAATACCGGGTTTTAAAAACGCTGCACCGCGGTCGCGACGTTACATGTTACACGTTACCCTTTAAGAAATAGGTCAATTAATTCGAAGCTAACGACAGACGTTTATTCGAAAGTAAACTCGATATATTCCTAATTTCATAATTTTAACAATCGAAAATTAGTTCCTCAATTCCTCTCGACTTGAAACATTCGAAAGTATTTCGATTCTATTCTATCCAATTCGATTACAAATTCTGGTTTTTCTATGAATCAGTTTTTTTCTTAATAGTGCCAACTTTATTAGAAATATATAATATTAAGAACGTTATGAAAACTAAAAACAAAGACTTGAGAAGATAAGGAGGTTTACGTGTGCTCCTTTTTCTGTCCTAAATGAACATAATTGTGCGCTATAACAAATAGTATTTACAAATCGATTATCCGAATAAGAAGCGGCTAGCGCCTTAACTATGTAAATAACCGTTCTTTGAGAAACGACACTTATCGATGTGATCGTCAAATACGCTAACGATTATGAAATATCATGTGCACAGAGAGTCGTAGTATTGTCCGCAGACAAGATCGAGAATCGTAGCATACCACAGCGATCGAGAAAACCGTAGCTTTCTCGCCGGAAATTCGGTTTTCTTTTTCAAAGTTTGTTCTCGTAATAACGTGAGACTGATCGTTAATCGAGTACGCTTGCATTGATTTCTGCCAAGAAGAGTAAAACGGTTAATCGTTCCGATCAAACGATACTTCCGATCACACCCAAAAAGAAAAAAAAACCAACAAACGGAACCATGCGACGCGCGACGTTCTTCTTTTCCTTTTTACTTTAATAAAAGAGAGATAAAGACTTACTTAGAATTATTCTCGCGGTTATTTTTAAGACAGTTGGAACTAATTGTAAGTCTTGTAGGAATCTCGAAAAAATTCACGTCTCTTACTTTATACAAATTATGGCGTAGATGTAATATGTACATAACTGAAATACTCAGAAGAGATGATTTCTCGAGATATGCGCGTGCGTAATTCGCGCCTATCTCGGAGGACGAGATTTTATGCGGAGTACATCGCGATCGATATCACAACGTCGTCTTATAAAAAAAAAAACATGGAAGAGTCGAAGAAAAAAATCAGTAAAGGTTCATTCCGTAAGATCAGATTTCCAGAAATTGACATAGTTTAAGGATCGTCACAGTTCCTTACGATTTGTCCGCTCTCAAAAGGATGAGAGAGTTGGAATAGTTAGAACAAGCGCGAGGTAAAATAATATTGGAAGAGGGGAGCATGTGTGTACGTCATTTCATTGCAATCGCAATCGCAAAACTGCCGGTTAAACAGTTGGGACAAGCCATTTTGGTAGAATATCAGCGTAAATGTCTTAATCCATCGCACACATAAAATTGCGAAACCAAGACCGTTCGCACAATTAAAGCAATTAAGGAATAATACAAAAATTATATGATACAAAATATACACGACGAAAAGCTTAGCTAGAGTGAGGTCGTTTTGACAATTTCGACGATTCTGAGATTTGTATACGCCAAAGGAACAATCTATCAAGAAACATGTATACACTCATGAAGAAAAAGAAAATAAAAAGAGCAAATTATGATGCGGTAGAACTGCAATATATGGTTGTTTTCTTAAAATCTCTCGCTAAGAGATTACATGTTTCTGAGAAGTATCTTCTGAAATTCTTATTCAATGTTCATCATCCCCCAGTCCCGTAGGTAACAAAATCTGTCGAAGAAAGCATTTGCACAAAATGTTTGCTACAAATTTCGTGTCAGTAGAATACCAACAGAAACTTAATAGAATCTGTTTATAAAATATGGCATTACTTATGAGAAATAAATTATAATTGTTTCTATTTTACGTTTGTTTAATTTTGCCTTCATTAGAGTTCAGTTTCAACTTGTCCTTCTCCACCCTACATCACCAGGCTGACTAGGGCTGCAGGACTCGAGGAAAAACATGACGCTCCTACGAAAAGTAAGTTTTATATTTTTAAATACTACGTATGTGTTTTAATTATACATTTTATTCTGCATTGCTTTCTCTGATTATTATTTAAATCCGTATTCTTTGTATTCATGTTTTTAATAATAATAATATTATATTATCTTTGTTATTAGAGAGTCAAATTATGTTGGATACATTACTAGCAATAAAAAATAATATTCTGAGTTGAATATACTAATTTGGATAGAAAACTTGAAGAAAATTTTAAAAAGTTTTATCTAAAAAGGAAAGTGTCACACAATTTATTATAACTTTAGATTTACTAGAAGATAAGTCGAATTGTAGTAAGAAAGTCATAAGTAATATAAACTACATGTAAAAAAAATATTATTCTTGAATAATAATATTATACATATTCTGTCTGTTTTAGTTGCTGAAAGAGACAATGGTGGATAATAGGATCAGCCTGGTCCAATCGTGTTAGAAGACGCAACTAAAGAAGAATTTTCACTTTCTATGTATTTGTTTGCATACGCCTGACAACTGACAGCAGTTAATTGCTCGACGTGTTTGTAGTGCTTATTATTCACGACATATGTAAGTGTCTGGAATTTCCATTGATATCTTATGAACGATGTAATATTGGCACTTTTATCCCAAGCTACCTCTGTTTTCCTTTTGTGACTTTTTGTTTCTCTGCTGCAGAATAACAGATATCAGCTTTTATTTTTCTAAATTTATATGATTAAAAAGATACATAATTAGTAAGTTAATATTTTTTAATTAAATTTGTTATATATAAATGCATTAATAATATCAATATATACATATCACGTTACACAAGATATCTTTATATAAAATTGCTTTTTTTATATTAATGTTGTAGAATTAAATCTGTTACAGAGAATTATCAGTTGTAACATAAAGTTATATGCCAAATTTACTATTATATACTATTATTCTATTTATTTGTCCCGGACATGTATTGTATGTATTGCAGTATATGTATTGCATGTATACTGCAGTAAATAATCGATTGTTATCAAATCGTAGTATCACATACATGCATTATGCAGATGTTCCGAAGGAGTTTATACACCTTTTAAATATGCCCTCATAAACATTGTGTAGTGAATTAACAGCGCAGCCGCTTGCACCAAATCGGTGAAGACGTACATAATCCTCGCAGTCAATCACTCCATTTCCGGTGCAATCCTTAAATTAAATTAACGTACATTAAATATTACATCGACGAAGCCACGAAATCTGAATAAACTCACCTTAGCAAATTTAGACATATAATTTTGTAGCACACGAGCAGCACAGTATACATTGTTGGCGCAATTGCGATAGGCTAAAGGGAAAAAAAAGTGATTTGTTTTTTCTTATTATACATATAAAATTTATATAAAGAAACAGAAAATAATTTTTTTTCCAATAAGTATTCCGAGTATGTCGTGCGAGAGTAAATAACTCACTCTGATCTTCGTCTTCATCAGCTGGTTTGTCGCTTAAAGCGGGTTTATCAGCATCAGTCCAGTACTGTTTTGTTATGTAAAATGGTCCACAAACTGGTCCGTTACAGCCTACATTGATGTCACATTCTGAAGTAACTAAACATATACATTCTAAACAAGCTGGCGTTATCTGCTGAGCTGTAACATACAGCAAATATATAACTATTATTATTAATATTGGCGAAACTATTATAAATAGCATAAAGGCTGATAATGCGTAACGTTTTTATCAATGCCCTATTACATGTCGAATTTTGAAATAAGATAAAGTACGCCGATTAAACAAGGAAGCATTGCTTAGTTAATAATCAACGATCTAATTTTATATAAGAAAAATATATACGTATATCTCTTTGAAGACAATACTGATAATTAAATAATTGCGAATATCTCTGTAAGATTTGTCATTGGATCAGTTCTATATAATATCGAATCAACGCAAAGTGGAAAAACAGGATATACTGTCTATACTATACATATATTCGATGTAGAAAGAGAAGGGAGAGAGAGAGAGAGAGAGAGAGAGAGAGAGAGAGAGAGAATTGACAAAATAAAAATGTAAAGTTGTTTGGCACAACTCTATAATACATGTAACTGGAATTTTCGATGTGTAATATGCATATAGATACACAACCATGCGCGCAAACTCTTACACATATATACTTATACATTCCAGGACACACACACACACGCATAAACACCATTCGTAGAATTATAAACCTGATTTTAATACGACTTACGTGTATTCGTGCTTTAGACTCGCTAACCTTGAACTGAAAAAGTTGATCCATAGACAAGCTAAATATCATTCTAGTTATTTAATAAGTAAGTAGAAATCATATTTCCAAATTATAAAATAAGCGTTAATAATTTTTTAAAACATACGTATGTTATGTCCGAACATTGACTGTAATTTGAATTACTTTATAATTTCAATTAACATCTTTATTAATGTTTTTATATACAATTAATATATTATTGTGCGATTATTTCAGTAAGAAAATAAAACAAGGAAATAATATACGACGAGATTAAAACGCATACATAAATGACATTCTCATGAGAGTAATCAGACATGTTTTCTATATATGGATTCCGTTATCTTAATTTGGAGTTCGCAAACAAACTGCGCAACTAGCATATCATTATTTTACCGGATTTGTGTCTAATAATTGCCAGTTCTATAATCATCTTCATCGTTGTATGGTTAAAATATGACTGAAAAATATTACCCGCGATATTTGTTATAACTTGAGCGCGCGTTTGTTCACAGTTTATTTTACGGTATCGGTAACGTACGCCAAGTCACAGTAAGTATCTTGGTGATTTTATTTTTAAGACAAAGAACTTCGTTGACGAGCTACACTTTGATAGTATGTGATTATGCTTACATAAGGTCTTAGCTTACACAGTCATTAATAACTACCAGTGTATGTGCAACTGATGAGAAAAAGAAAAGAAAAGAGACGGATATATATGTTACATAAGATTCCCCCAGAGAACATACATGTTTAAAAGACGTCTAATAGTCTTAAAGATTTTTCAGACATGCGGGTGCTCTAGGTCATTTATTACGCATCAGTTCGATAAAAAAAATTGTGAATCATAAATAATATTCAATCACTGTACGGTAGTGACGTTTTTAACACACATATCTTTTAAAAGAAATTGACGTGTTATAAATCACACTTCTATTAAATAATAAAGAAATATCGATAGCTCACCAGAAGTGTAATAAATGCAAAATATCACGACAATCCACGAGACTTTCGCGAGCATTTTGGAAATGTGCTGTTGCCAGACCGCAAGAAGCAACGTCTACTGACCACAACGCACTGCGTTGATCGACTGATGGGAGATAATCCTTATTTCTCAGCGATCGTTTTTTATACACATGACGATAGCAGCCATACGATGAAAGCGAAAACAAGTCTTGGAGATATGATGACACAGGAAAAGGGGAATGGAAAAACCGTTTTGAACTACGGTGGCTGAAAGACAACAATTTTATCGCTATTACGTTAAAAAAGTAATAAATAAAATTCCGAAAGCAAGAATTATAGCTGGTAGAAAATTAATCATCGGACGATAATGCCTCGTCTGTTTCAGTATTAGTGTAACTTTAAAGGGAACTTCCCGCATTCTTCTATATTTGCAAGAATCGTAATAATCAATTCAGAGAAAAGATGATATTTCCTATACGTCTTCACGCATGCACATGCACACGCACAAATACGAATACCTGTTCGCACGCACGCACATACACACACTTTTGCAGAACCACATACTTATGAAAGTTACGAACAATAATTTTTCGATTTTTTAAAATTAAATCCCTGAAAGTTCGCGTACAGGGGCACTTCGATTCAGAATGTTGAAAATTATAACATATCAAAACCAATTCGACCGAAACTTTACATGCGAAATGCGCGGAGTCTTTTGCGGTGTTGTACTTTCTGTATGTGGATAATGTTGAAACAGAGAATTTGGCAACGTGTTTTTCGCAATAGTATGATACCAAATATGAAATTAATTTAGTTACATTTCATGTGCATTAAGCTTCCGCGTGCCATTAAGTTTTTGTCATAATTTCGTAGGTACTTCTAATGATAAGTTCAGCAAGCAGTAGATTGTATCTATCTAGGTATCAACCAATAATATTGCGTTCGCTTTAACAGTTTAACTGAATACGGTCACGCTATCTTTTACTTTCTATTAAGGCACGCGTCAGCTTAATAAATATTAACGAAAAAGAGGTTCTTCGAATTAGCAATAATTTTCAGAACTACGAAGACTCTCGCTCTAACTTGAGAAGGAGCTCAATCCGGATGGTCGAAACGTTGCAAAATTGGATAATAAATCGGTCGCCAAAAAGCTTTTCCTCGCTAATTATTTTGCTGGCGAAACATACCTTGGACTGTTCATAAATATTGTTTTTAATAGAGCAAGTAAAAATTATAATGTATTTGCTAGAAAATTATGATGCTATTGCTTTAAGATTCTTTTCTTGTTGAATGCAATAATGTATAGTTCAGTTTTAATTAATATGTAATATTAAGTTACATTAAAATAAAATTATAAATTGGACAATGTGGCATTGCAATTGCCAGTCCGACGTAAAAGTAACCAGTCGAAGGATGAAGGTAGATTAGGACAAAGACCGAAAAGTCATGTACTATTTCACAAAATTCACAGTAATTTGATCGCACGAGAAGCGATAGGCTGGACTCAGCTGGCATGCAAAATGGTTTATTTGTTTTACATCTACGATCGGATAGCGAGGTATGTTCCAATTAAGAAGACATTGGTAACGAATTTTTGAGAATTTAGATTTTAGTAAAATAGTTATTGCGTATTTTAAACAAGCTTTTGTTATTAACTTAAGATGTAATATGACTTTCTTCTGTGCAATAGTATGCCTCCCGTAACATTTTATTATAATCTGTCGAACACGTTCGAAATTTTGGAAATGCAAGTTGTTTTAAACATGTTAATATAAACCTTTCTTCTTCTCAAGTTAGTAAAATAAGTTTTCAAAGTCTGATCAAATCTTTAAGAGAATTAGTAATTTAGCTTTAACATATTAACTTTTAGTTAATATACATATATATATTTTTTTTACAATTATCTAGTACCTACTATTTTATTAAGAAGATTATATTTCAAAATTTAAAGTATTAAAGTATTAAGTATAAAGTTAAAGGTAAAGTAATATATACCTATACATTTGTTGTATATTATGTATGCATTTTTATATTTTAAATTTAATATTAAAATATTGATGTTTCTATGGTATTAATACATTATTAATAAAAATTTATAGTTTTATTATAGTTAGTATTATGCACATATCTCTTAACGTACTGTCTTATTACTAAGTTATAATTAACATATAATTTTAACATTCTTAATTCGAGCGCGAGTGTACTCTTTTAATACATACATATACTTCCATTTTCTAAAACAATTAAAATTAATAATAAGATGTCGTTTATTTCATAAACATATTTTCAATCCATTTCTATGTATAAACAGATAAATGTTGATAATAAACATCATAATGTATGTGTAATACTGTATAAATCGCAGATAATTTATTTTCATTTAAAAACTGTTACAAGATAACTATATTATATAGAACTACCTTGTAACACATATACATATACATATATTTAACAATAAATAATATAAGCTTGTTTATTATAAAAATTTATATTATCTATTTTTCTTATTCATCTGTACATATTTTGCATTCTTTCGTACAAGATGTTAAAAATTTATTATACATAGGCAATTGACTATCACGAGCACGACTCAGATTAAGGTAACTAATAAATAGACGAGGTCGCTTTGTGAGTGCCGTTCTCTCATCGATAACGACCTCGGTACTATCACAGCATCATTGTCATGACATGTAACTTCTTGATATGCGTAAATCGCGCATATTTTACAAAGTTAATATCGTAAAATTCTATTAACAAGACGCCACCTTCTAATCTGCAACTACTATAATGAATGAGACTCATTAATGGCATATACAACGAATTTTATATTACACTGAAATAAATGTTTCTGACATTGCAATATACGTGTACATACATACACGTATACATACTGATGCTACACAACCATGTTACTGATGATTCCTATAAATCTCCAATATTCTTGAATATCCATTATGTCGAATTTCTAAGTATTAAATTCTTTATTATTTCATGTATGAAGTTATATATAAGACACATAAATACATGTAATGTTATATATAATAAAATACTATTTCAGAAAAAATAATTTTTCAAAGAAAAAAGAATTTCAAAAATTGTAACTAAATACGAGATACATTACATACAGTTTATTCAAATTTTGTTTTATTTTATGATATTTTATTATCGATAGTTTTATTTTATTGATGATTTTATTACTGATATTTTATTTTCCTCATTTCTCTTGTAATTCATTTTTTCTCTTGTGTGTGAAGCACGATAGCTATAATTTTTAGACAAATCCTAATACTTCTCTCAATCTAGGATTTCTCTTTCTAGTGTAGATATCTTCGTGTAACAACAAAACTATCTAGTTTAATAAACATTTGATACCTGGATATTGTAGATAATTTGGATATTTAAAGAATATTTAAGAATGTGTTAAAAAAACTATATGGGATATTTTACACAAATGTGCGCGCACATGGGTATGCACGCACATGCACGCATAAGAATTTACGTACAAAAATATTCCATATCTCTCTATAGCTGCGTCACTCAATTACAATTCATCGACGATTTTTCCAAACAACCTAGTAACCTGCTGATACAAACGTTCCGCATGTCTTCGTGCATTTCGACGGGAATGAGCTCGTCGAAAATACCAGTCCGAATCGTCAAGATGCCATTGCTTTTTATACTCATAAGATCTGCCCAAAAGATTTTTTTATCGTATTTATTTATAAAAACACATTAAATTATTTGAGTTCGTAATCAAGATCGTAGTATTAAATAAAATTGTCTTGTAGGAAATTAGTACCTGTCACTCCCTCGGTCTGTATTTGTATAATGCTGATTGTCTTGCTTTGTTGTGCAACCGTCAGGTGAAGAATGTTTAGATTTATGATAGTTATCGGCAATGTCTAATACGTGGTTGTTTATTTTATTCTGAAAGGATATATTTTTTCCTTCATAATTCGCTTTGTAATTAACGATTTTTTCAGTGGAACCATTCGATTTAAAATAGTCCTTTTCCCTTGGTCTTCTTTCTTTTTCTGCAGATAAAACTTTTGCAGAATTTTCGTGATCCACAGTCTTCTTGCTATTTGTATGTTCCTTTTGCGATTCTTTGTCATTTTTTGTCTTTTCCTGAAACAAATTTATAATTTACTTTAATTTAAATTAATTGTTTTATATATAAACTTTTTTTTAATATATAAAACTTTAATTATTCCATTTGTGTGTATATTTATCATTTTATATACGCAAATCTTTATTCGTGTAAAATTTAAAAACTGACGAGAAATTAATAATGTTATATTTGTAACTTACCTTTGTTAAGTCAAATGTACTCGTGTTAATATTAAACTTTGAATAGTCGGTTGAAAGTAGGAACGTATTTTTCAACTGCATTAAGATATCATCAAAACTGTTTTTCGACATTATATTTGATAGTAAGGAACTGTCCTTCCCTTTGCGATACTTAACCGACTCTTTATTGTCTCTTTTAACACCATGAATCAGTTGCTTAAAACGTTCATCATTATGTAGTATATTAGTCAAGTGGTTTAGTGTCTTGCTTAATTGGTGTTTGAAGTTGCCTATATTTTCTACTATCTCAGAGACAAACAACTCAGAGGAATCGCGTATCTTACGACTGTTTCGTAAGAACCTGTTACATAATAGAATAGTTAAAAGACATAGTAATAATTTGTGACAGAGAAATAAAAAATGGAATGGCATTACTCCCAATATGCTTACTTTGCTGTAGATTTGTCTACATTTTGCTTCTCATTCTTTTCATTTTTCAGAGAGTCCTCTTTATCATCACCATGAATTTTATGGTTATTCCTTTTATCGTACTTTGGGTGCGATACCGTATCAGTTTTTATAATTTGCTCTTTTATCTTTGTATTTCCCTTTCTCGCTTTGTCATCCACAGTTTTTGATGTGTAGTTCAAGAAACAAGACTTGTCATAATCTTTAAACAGCTCATTACTCTCGGTCAATTGTTTCAAAAGTTTGTCATCGGGCAGTGTACTTTTCAAATGACATAACTTTTTATTCAACCTGTGTCTTTCTTTAGCGTATTTGTTGTACACTTTTGCTGTTGCCTTGCTCACTTTTTCTTCCAAGTTGGAGAGAAGTAACTTGGAAGTGTTATACATTTTATCGTTGTCGTGTTGCAAGAAGCTGCAAATGACGTAATTATTTAAATATATAATAATAATTTTCTCTTTAGAGATAAATATCTTCGTATATTACACTTACTTCAGGGCGTTAAACTCATCTTGTGTGCTATTAGTCAATAATGTTAATGTATCATAAAATACTTTTGTATTGTTTACAATGTCCAGCGTCTTAGTTATTTTATGTTTCAAAGAACTGTTATTATCACGAATAAACGTCAACGATAATAGCACGTGTAGAGACCCTTGAAGCTGATCCAACGAATGTGAAGTAGAATTGAAAAATTCTTTGGTAATCACAATAGGCTCACTACTTGTCTTATCAGAGGAGTCAGTAATTTCGGAAAATTTGGCCAAAAATTTCTCCCTGATTTTCCTGTCGGCTGGAATATGTGCTTTAATTTCGTTCAGCATAGCTTTCACTGAAAATGAGAATTAAGATGCAAAAGGTAGACCTACAACGCAGATCTTGGGCCTTTTCTAAGTTACATTAATTTTACCGTCTGCCAATTCCTTGCAGGTGTTAACAATGTCATGGCTCGCAATCCTGAGACTCTCAGCGTCAACTCCACTTGAGACCGGACGGCTTTCAGGAATTGTGAAGAAATTGCTAAGAGTCAAGCCGATAATTATACCAAGTACACAAGCAATCAGAATGTTCCATATATCTTTCTGTAATACAGAGATTCAAATCTCATAATCCAGAAAACATCAAAGATTTATAATCTGAAACAGCAACATGGAACTAAGCACAGTCGCTGTACCTGCCCACTCATTTGCACTTCCAGCATTTGTGGAGGCTCCAATTGACAAACTTGGAAGAGACTTGTATTGACAGCATCTGTATCACTCTCTGTTATGACCGATATACCGTCGGATATGTCTTCTGACTCAGCACTTGTAAACAACACTGTATCACAATCCTTCATGTCTGCCATCTCGTTATCCGAATCCTTCACAAATACAAAAGTGTTATAGCGATTCTCGTTGATTCAGCTCAGCTTTAAAATCATTTCTCTCTGCGCAGTATTGAAGTTCTAATTATGTCATACACTTGTTTATCTTACATCAGTGTTGTCGTTCATCCTCGGTACCTCTGACGACTGAGAATTTCCGTCGTCATCGCTCCGACAGTAAATCCAGCTTAATTTGACCCACTCCTTCTCTTCGCCGTCCAACTCCATTTCTTCTATCCCGAGATAGATGTTGTTAATATTTACGTCATCCATTGTTCGTCTCGCAGAACGAACGTCGCAGGCCTCTCGAATATTTATCGAACGCGCTGCGAGCTGAAGTAACAAAATCCCAAAATTGTTCAACTGAGTCACGATACGAAATATATTTTTATTGAACACGTGCCAAATGGCCAAATTTCTGGCACGATATACGCGCAATGTACCTCAACGATTAGTCTATAACTTACATATTCTGTATTGCCACAATATTCAGATTTCGTTATGCGGTAGAGATCACTTTTGTTATTTACTTACATCGAGAATAAATAGTTACGATCAGGAGACTCACCAGGCTTGATATTCTCGACGCAGGGAACAACAAAGAATAAACAATGGTCGCGTTGAGGATAAAGCCCATCACACATTGGCCGCGTTCAGCAGACACTACTGTTGCGTGAGCGCTCAGTACGATTGGTTAATACTTTTAGATCCAGCCAATCATATTAAGAAATCATTGAGCGTTCACTCAACAGTTGTGCCTGCTGAACGTGGCCAATAGGAATAGAATTTTTGACGCGTTGGATTCGTCGGAAATTTTCTTCCAACCAATCCAACGCGTCAGGAATTCTATTCCCTGTTCCTGTTACCTATTGCCTGGCATTGTGTTCGGGCCTTAATCGCCGAGCACCAATCCAGCCATGATTGGCCCTTGCTCGTAGATCCAACTAGTTAGCTGTCAAGTAAAGCCCGTATCAGACTACGGATTGGGATTGGGATTAGATTGAAATTTAACCAATCACAGTAAAGTTTATTAATCTCAAGTTTAGTAACTTTTACTCTGATTGGTCAAGTTTCAATCTAATCCCAATCTCAATCCGTAGTCTGATACGGGCTTAAGCCCAGAAAGAGAAACCTGAGTGCGGCCACGCCGGCGTTTCAAGCCTCGTCTACATAGAAGTCGTAAAGTCGTAGTCGTAAGAATAGTCGACTATGATTGGTCAATTCTTATGTGTCTGACGAAATTGACCAATCGCAGTCGATTATTCTTACGACTACGACTCTGCGACTTCTATGTAGACGAGGCTTTAAGCCTCCGCTACAATGATTCTCGGTTCTGTCTACAATGGTCGTAGTCGTAAGAATAATCAACTGCGATTGGTCAATTCTT